AGGCCTCCTGCCTCTGGGTCTGCCCTGGTTCCCATGAGAGCAGGACTGCCCATTTGATACCTGTCTCCTGCACCTAGGACGCTGCTTTAAGACTTTGGGAAAGATTTGTAAAGATATTTAGGTGTCTAACTTTCATTGATTTTCATAGGAGTTAGGTGCCCAAATACCTGTAGAAATGTTCTCCTTTGTCTAGAATAGGATTTAAAGGTGTGGTGTCAGAAGGTGTGAGCCAACATATTCTAACTAACATGTTCTAGAACTGTGGTCCCCAACCTTTCCCGTGAGGCGGGCACTGGACGACTAGCCGCCAAGGACCATGGCCGCTGGAGAAGCAGCCGCCGAAATGCTGCCGTGAAGCGGCAATGTCAAGAGGCTTCGCCGCCGAAATGCCGCCGTGAAGCAGCGTCATCAAGAGCCGTCGCCGCCGAAATGCCGCTTCTTGACATTGCCGCTTCTTGGCGGCATTTCGGCAGCTGCTTGTCCGGCAGTCAGTAGGCAGGTGCACATGGATGCCCCAGTGGGTGCACATAGATGCCCCGGTGGGCGCCATGGCGCCCGTGGGCACCACGTTGGGGACCCCTGTTCTAGAAGCCTGGTGTGGACTTTAACACATGCTGGACTTTATCTGACCCAGCTTAGTGTGCGTTAAAGTTTTCATTGTCTTGAGCACACTGGGCATTGAGAATATGTTTGGTAAGACCTTCTACCACCACACTTTTCGTTACTAGACCTAGAAAAAGACAAAATGAATTTCCGAAGAGATAGGGGGCTCCCAGGAAGGTTAATATTGCCAGTGCCCTTTGCCACTAGTAACTTTCCTCTTCTGTTTTTGCTGGGTGCAGGGGGGTGATATGTTTTTCCCATCCCCTTCCCAAATTTAACTTTGTTACGTTGCATGTGTGGTGTTTTCTATTCCTCTTTTTCTGGCAAACAGGGTAGTACTATGTGTATATATATAAATATAACTTTTTTCATTATAAATTGTACTGTACAGCATCAATTGTACAAATTTTGCTTATCTACTACATGGGAAGCCTTATCCTTTGCTCTTGAAGTCTTAACCTTTGTGGGTTTTGTTTGGATCGAGCTATGCAGCCAAGTTACTGCAGTAATGTTGGAGGGTTTCTTTTACATTTACTATTAAGTGTAATTAGAATTTTGCTTTTACTTCAGGTTAAACGTACGTAGGGATGCAACTGAAAACTGTGTGTTTCTTCAGCATAATAAAGTAGCTTTAGAAGCAGCTAGTTGCCTTTTAAAATATCATTTTGTGTGTAAAAGAAATGAAGGTAAGTAACAGGATAACTTTTCTGTTCAGTCCTTGCATTTCTTTGTTCTTTCATTTCTTCTTTTGCTTCTACCCATTGTTTTTATTACGAATGGTTCAGTATTTTTAATGAACTTATTCCACATGTAAACACAGATTTTATTTTTTTCATTTGTTTGCATAGATTTTTGGAAAATGTTCTTATCCTTTCTCTCCTACAGCTGTGATTCTATGAAGGATACTTCACTTAGAGAATCTTAATCAGCAGTGCGGAACCCTTGAATGCGTAATAGACTATCTATTTGAAAAGGGTGATGCTGAGTCCATGAACAACAACAGACCTGATTTTCTTCTTATGCTGGTGTAATTCCATTGACATTATCACAGTCACTGTCCACTTACACAGGTCTGAGTAAGATCAAAATCAGGCCCAACACATTCACAATTGCACACTTCCATTTTTCATATATAATTAGTACAGTTGTGTACGCAGTGAGGAGTCTAAACACCCATGTGTACGCACAGTCACCGGATTTGTGCATGCAGTTGCCCAAACCATGCTAATATTTAGGCATGCAATTGGACATTGCATTTCTGTGTATGTACCTTTTGGCTTTTTCCTTGAGTGAATTACTAGGATTGCTATATCAAGTCGATTACTGCAGTGGATTTCTAGGCTCTGTGCTAGAGGATGAAGTATGAAGCACTGGGCTGGATCTTGGGAGATATGAATTCAGTTCTTGGCTCTGCAACAGATTTCCTGTATGCCCTTGGTCAGGTCACTTGCTCTGTGCCTCAGTTCCCCTTCTACAGAGTTGAGATAGGGAGGTATTATTGTCTTTCAAGGATGTTGTGAGGATAAATCCATAAGTAATGGGAAGGCAGTCAGATATTGTCTATGAAAATGAAGGCAATAATAGGTAACTATCCTTTATAACTTTCTGGAGACAACTGGGAGTGTTGGGAAACAGCTGCAGGGTGTCTATATTTGAAAGTCATTCCTGTTTTGGGGTGGGGATAAGTGTATCTGCCGTTTCATTCTGGGATATTTTTCCTTCTCTTTTAGCTGAAGACATGTTTCAGTTTTATGCAGGCCACATAATAACACAAAGACAGAATTTGTTGCCAAAAGTATATTCGTCTCTCGAATCTGCTGAAAATGCATGCCTGTATGAGAAAACACATTGTACTGGAGTAGTCCATTCACAGAAACGGTATCATTTGGTTAGTGGAACAGAGGTATTTAGAAGCTCTAATAAAGCTGACGCATTATATCTTAAAACTGGTAAGTATTTAGTGTATATATTTCTAGCTATACCTCAGACTTCGTTAGTACCTCTTACCTTATTATATCAGACTACCTTATAACAATCAGTTAACTAAAATACAAATTAAACTGTGTGTGTCCTCTTTAAAAGGATATTTCTTGCGTTTGGTCTCCCATAACTTTTGTTGTCCATCAAAAATACCCTTCAGAATGACAGCTACACTCCTCCAGAAAGAGAGAGCTGGTTTACTTTTTAAGGACACACTCTTACTTCATTAGTCAGATCTTCAGGTACACTTGAACTTTGCCAGCCATGTGAAGGGAGGGGTTACATGTGGCTCTTACTCTATTTTTGCCCGGCAGTGCTGGGGCATCCAGGGTCCTTTTTGACTTTCTGCACAAGTTAGATCAATTTTGGAGCTTTTTAATTTGTGCCATAAGGCCAGGCCCATGGTCCTGAGTGCAGCATACTCTGCCACATTTCTGAGTCACTCACTATGCTGAAGGTCAAGAGTGGGTGCATAAAGTAATGCTGGCTACGTGCCACCCCAGAATTCCACAACCCACTGCTGTCAGAGCAGCCCTCCATCCTTGTTGTGCTGCTGCAGTGATACATAGGTGATAGATCAACAGCTGAGAATCTGACCTCAGAACTAAGAAGGAAGCGTGCTCTTAGAAACACAGGAAATGGAGAAAGAAGGATCTGTTTTTCTCTGATACCCTGGTGTAAATATGGAGTAATTCCGTGACTTCACAAGAGTTACTCCTGGCTTCCACCTGTGTAAATGGGAACCAGGCCCTTTATGTCTATAGAAACATAGACTGAACGGTAAAAATAAATATGACCCAATGACTAGAGAGACACTGATGTGGTGTAAATAGTGCCACCTTTCACACAAAAGCTAAAATTACTCGTTGCAAAGCTTATCTTTTCCCTTTGTTAAGGCTGTTGTGGGGATGGGCTGAGGTGGGTGTATTTTGGGGCAGTCCTTTATTGATGTATGTGTGACTTTAGTTTATGGCGTAGGTGCCCAGATCACTGGATATGAGCCTGTATAGTATTTTTAAAATGGAATCAATTCTCTGCACTCGGTCATTTAACTCTGAAACTTCCTTTGAGGCTGCCAGCCAGGCTACTATGGCTCAGATTGTCAAGCCACTTGCCATCCATGCACCAGTGGTTTTCCTTGCAGTGGTGTTACTGGACATTGCGTAGGCACTGCCAGAGTCACTTGCAGCTTACAGTCTCAGGATCCACGGTGCTCTCCTAGCGAAGGTACAGAAAACAACAGTTTGGAAGTTCATATCCTTGTATTTATTGAGGTCCCATTGGCTCTTTTATTTCCAAAGTCGGGTACCGTAACAATTGGTGGTGTTCAGTTTCCAGGCAGTTGTGCCCCCAGAGGCCTCGATGGCATTATTTTCTAAAGGCGTGTTACTATGTGGAAGATACTCAAACTAAAACGTGGAGTGAGGCCAGGCGGGCGTGTCAGGGCTTTAAGGAGACAGACCTCGCTAAAATTACAAACAGTGCAGAAAAGGTACCCTGTCTAGTTTCTCATTTGACAGATTTAAAATTGGGGGATTTTGTAATTGTGTGAGGATTTTTGTTTTGCTTTAGATAGAAGATGCAATAGGGAACGCACTGTGTGCTCTATTTCCATCTATATAATTATAAGCTGCTGCCTGCTGAATGATTGTGCTTTCTGATTCAGTTGGCTGAGTCACACTCAGTGCATCTGAGGAAGGAATAGCCCTAGGTGGCTCTAAGGGTGGCTCTGAGTTATGTCGGCTGCAATTATCCCACAAGCAACTCTATTGACAAGCTCAGGAGGGTGTCACATCCTCTCTGCTTTGTAGCTAGGGTGGCTGGGGAGTGTGGGACCTGCAGCTCTGGGAGAGCTCAGTGGGCTCACCCACACAAAAGGAAAAAGCTAGACACTTAATAAAAATGAGCAAGAATCAAATGGTTTGAGTCACTCTGTCCCATCTGGTAACAGGACAAAGGCTCCTAGATGTTGATGAATGAAGTTCAAAATGGATAAAAGAGGCCTAATAACACGTTTGAATGGATTGTTTTTGTGTTCTAGGCTTGGATACAGTTTAAAGGGGAGAACAGCTGGATAGGTTTGACCTATAAGAAAGAAGACTTCAGATATGTGTGGGTCGATGGCACATCTGCTCGGGCTGAAAGTGCATGGTGAGACTAAGTTTTGACAGATGCTGTTGTTTTAAATAGGACAATAGCAGTTAGAGAGAACCTGCTAGAGAAAACCATTGAGCCCATCCTAGTCAGGGCTGAATACAGATCCTCAATAGAGGACATCTTGTTACTAAACCAGTACCATGGCTAATAGCTACAGTTTCCTTAAATAAAAATGCCATGCACGCCCTCAAATCTGGAGATGCTGTAGTTGACCTCATTCGGTTTTGCAACTTGGCTTTTCTCTGTCTCCTGGCAGGGTCATGAAACGTAACAGGAGGCATACACTCACTAAAGAAGACTGTGTGGTTGCCTTCAAGCAATACCTTTCCCCAGCAGATTGTTCTTCTCTGAGAAAGTGGATATGCAAAAGAGAAGGAGGTAAATTTATCATATCTGGGGCTTTGAACCCTAATTTAGGGCTCAGTTGTCTGTGTTTAAGAATGGGAGAAGCGCTCTGCTGCCCAAGGAGGAGATCCAGGAAAAATGGAAAATGTGCCCGGACCTTCAGGAGGACATGGAGATGGAGTGCTTGCCTAGCCCTCTTTTCTCTGCACAGTCTGGCCTTTAATTTTAAGATTGTATGAAGTAAACTTGTAGGGCCTGATTCCTCTGTATGTCGGTCTGATTCTGTACCAGTGTAACTTCACTGAGTTCATTGTAAGTAAAGGGATCAGCCTGATTCACCATTTCACTGTACTGCAATTGAATGTCAGAGTATCTCAATTGAAATAATTCATATTGGCCTTCTCGCTCCATGCACAAGCTGAACCTGAATTGTAAGACTGTATGAAGTAAACCTGTAGAAGTAAACCTCAGTGGAATTACACTGTGGTAAAATTGGACCAATATACTAGGCCCTGAAAGTTTATTTTGTATAATCTTAAAATTAAGGGCTAGATTGTGCACGTAGTGAGGAGACTAATTTGATTCACAGTGGAGTGATCTGGTGTTTAACCGGAGCAGTGAAATGGTAAATTAGGGTCATCATTTTACTTAGTCTTTCTCTGGCAACTTAACCCTTTAAGAATCTGATTTTTCAGAAGTATGGAACACTTGCATCTCCTATTGACTTGAATTAAAATAATACCTCTGAAAATCCAGAGGTAAGGAACTCGCTTGCTAATGTTCATCTACATCCTTTTGGCCCCCGGTGGAGATCTTTAGCAATATGACATAGGCCAAGTCTAACCTGGAAACTTTTGTTATAGTAGTATTGGTTAGGGGTGTCATTTTTTTTTTTAAACAACATTTCTATACTGGGAAAAGCCCTACAGTAGATACAGTTATCGTAGCATGAAAGCACTTCTACAGTAACTCCTCACTTAAAGTCGTCCCAGTTAACATTGTTTCGTTGTTACGTTGCTGATTAATTAGGGAATATGCTTGTTTAAAGTTGTGCAATGCTCCCTTTTAACGTCGTTTGGCAGCTGCCTGCTTTGTCCACTGCTTGCAGGAAGAGCAGCCCGTTACAGCTAGCTAGTGGGGGCTTGGAACCAGGGTAGACCGGCAGCCCCCCTATCAGCTCCCTGCTCCCCTAAGTTCCCTGTGCAGCATCTGCCCAGCAGGCTAGCAATTGCAGCTGTCCCTCCTCCCACTGCCATGTGCTGCTCCTACCCTCTGCCTTGGAGCTGCTCCCCGCAACTCCTGCTTGCTGTGCGGGGGGGAGGGAAGGAAGAGGGGGGCTAATGTCAGGGTGTCCCCCGGCTCCTGCACCCCGCTTACCCCATCTTCCATAGAGCAGGGGGGACACACGACAGGGCTCAGGACAGAGGGAGCTTGCTGGCAGCAGCAGCTATGGTCTCAGCAAGCTGATCTAACTAACAAGGCAGTGTACTTAAAGGGGAAATGCGCATCTCTCTGTCTCTGTCTGCGATGCTCTCTCCCCTCCCTCCATTTCTACTGCCTTGTAGACTGTGAGAGTTAACCCTTGAGGGCTCAGCCAATTGCTAGTTCATCATTTAGCAGTAAGGCATTCCTTGGAAAATATCACAATCATCACTGTGTACCAGTATTGAATTGTTTGTTTAAAACTTATACTGTGTGTGTGTGTGTGTGTGTGTATATATAATATAGTCTTTTGTCTGGTGAAAAAAAATTCCCTGGAACCTAATCCCCTCATTTACATTAATTCTTATGGGGAAATTGGATTCAATTAACATCGTTTCACTTAAAGTCACATTTTTCAGGAACATAACTACAACATTAAGTCTTGGCAGCCTGGGGGGGGGGGTAAGTGGGGCAATTTGCCCCAGGCCCCAGGCCCCGCAGGGTCCTTCACTCGCTCCAGGGGCCCGGGCTCTTGGAGCTTCTTCCGCTTCAGGTCTTCGGCGGCGGGGGGATCCTTCCGCTCCAGGACCTGCCGCTGAAGTGCCCTGAAGACCCGTGGCGGGGGGTCCTTCCGCCACGGGACCCGCCGCCAAAGTGCCGGGTCTTCGGCAGCAATTCAGCGGCAGAGGCCCCCAGCCGCCAAAGCGGTATAACTAGGCCAGCAAACCTTTTCTGCCCTCAGACCTGCCCTCACTTTAGCAAAGTGATTCACCATATGGATAGAAAGAAGTAACAGTTGTGGAACAGATGAAATTATGTGTTCACATACATACACGTGCTCACGGTCCTAAAGAAACTTAGTTCCCTGGTTTACTATTGATGCATCACCCGGCTGAGAAGGTGGGATTTTAACAATTTTGCATCTGTTGTTTGGGGAAGCCAATAGAAATGTAGGGGAGAAAGTTCTGGGGATAGAGAAAGTTATCCAAATGAAAGATGGGGTTATCCTTTGGGATCGCTGCAGACCGTTGGTCACAGCAGCAGCTCTGGCCTGTTATACCCTCTGTTGCTGTCCCTTGGGTCTGTACATTGTGTCACTTTCCTTGCCCATCTAACACCTTTCACTTCACCCCCTCCTGCCAGAGTTCAGTGCCATGAGGGAGATGTGGAATCTTCTGAATTGCCCTCATCACTCATTTATGCTACTTAGACTGTGAGCTCTTTGGGGCGGGGACCGTTTTTGTGTTGTGTGTTTGTACAGCACTTGGCACAGGGGAGTCCTAGTCCACAACTGGGGCTCCTAGGTGCTACTGCAGTGCAAATAATTAATAATAATAATAATGCATTCGGTGACTTCTGATGCATTGCAGGGAACCATAGAATTTGATCCTACATGCGTGGGGAAGAGCTATTCTGAGAAGGTTTGCAGTTTATCTTTCCTGCCATGGCCTATCCCATCCCATGGCCCAGCCCATATTTCCTGAATTTTATTTTATACCATCATCCATTTTATTTCTTTTCTGTTAATTTTTGCAGATGTCAACCTCTTTACAATGCACCAGGGGAGAGCTTTGTACTCCCCTTACGTACCAACATCAAATATATATAACACCTTAAAGAAAGCTACAGATACCTGCTCAGTGCTCCAGACATGCACTGGGATAGTGGCAGTGGGGGAGCACTACATTCTACAAAGTGGGATGGAACTGTATAACAGCAGGAATAGTAGTGTGAAATCCTTTATCAAGTCAGGTATGTCAAGTGTTTTAGAGCTTAACTCCCTCACACCATCCTAGATGGAGGTTGCATTTTTTGTTCATTGTTGTTTTTAAAAAAATTTGATGTAAAAACAGAAGACAAATGTAAAATAGCTGCAGAATTTTAGGGAGAGGATGTGAGTCATGCCTAGCAGAAAAATTGAAGGCTCACTTCATCTTTGTTAACAAAAGTGAAAGACGTAGAAGGATGCTATTCATCTAGATGAGCAATCAGGCTGCCTACTCCCAAAAGCATAAAATAAAATGAGCTAGCACAAAACACCAGAGGAAGATCCAGAAAGCAAGGTTTTGAATACTGTGGCTGCTTTAATACAGAGTAAGCTAATACTGAGAAGTGTTAATCATTTCCTTCCTCTTCTACTCTGCATTTAAAACTGCTAGCCATGTGCCATACTCTTGAACCTTTTTTTCTATGAGCATTTATCTCTCTCGCTATATATATCTACCTGTTTTTTTCAAACACTAGCAAGAAGCAGCCTTGTCATTGCTGTGACAAAGCCCTGGATCAAGACTTTTGTACACTGGGCTACCTTTTCACTTAAAGGCAGATATTTTGGAAAGCGCTGAGTGAGAACTAATATTTTCACGATAATTTATCATGGGGATGGCTTTCTTTTCCCCCCTTACCTGACATCTTGCTTGTGTTGGTTTGCATTAGAAGCTGTAATCACCAGCCAAAGTCCCAGAAGGTACACTCTTAATTTCTACTAGTGGTTAATGAGTGTGCCTGCTTGTATGTACAGACCCCAAAAGCTTTACCTTTAATTACAATTGTGGAAAAAATACCAGGTTCCTAAAGTAAACTTTTATTTTGGCAGCTGTTCATCTCTATTGTCCTTGGCTTGTTCACTTTTCACAGATTGCATCTCTGGAAGATTTGGGCTTCTGTGCGAATTTAAGTGTCCACCATGCCAGCAGGGTCTGGCCTGCAATCCATACACAGGGCTGTGTGGTGACAGTGTGTTTTGCAGTAAGGAGAACAGTCCTATCCCCTGTGGAAAAGGTGAGCCTGTTTAACATCCATAGGAGAGAAGAGGAAAACTGTGACTATACACAGGACCTATTTGTACACATTCTTGTCTCTTTATTCGTGTATTATGTCATCACCATTTGCAGCACCTCTAAACACCATGGTGATGCTCTAGAGTTACACCACTGTAAGTGGGGCGAGGAACTCCATTAAAGTCATTAGACTGACACAATATATAACGCATATCATCCTAACCTTCTGGAGGTTTAGATCAGACCTTCAGATTAGACCTTCTGACCTTGCTGTGTGCAGGAACTCTGCAAACTACGTCTCAACTCTGTTCCATTTTAAAAGAAACTTTACAGTTTGAAACAAATAGGAAAATCCCCCTGTGGTTGATTTTTATTCGCTGTGCGCTGGAAAGAAAAGGGAAATTTGCCACTTTCTGAGGCAGTTTTGAGAAACTTGTTTAAGTCAGCTGATTATAATTTAAAATATTTTTGTTGGCCAATGAATAAGTCCATAAATGTAGCCTAGAGCTGGGACTCAAACCCAAACTCAAACCCATAATTTCAGGGGTGTTTAGATATCTGAACTCTTGTCTAAATCCAAATTTTGGAAATGGTCCCAGTTATAGTTACAAAACCAGAGATCTGATATCCTGAACCTACGGGGTGTTTGAATCCAGATTTTGTGGCTGGAGCCCTTGTCTGATGTGATCTTCCTAGTATTTTAAAAGTATTAAAAGCTCTAAGAGATCCTTATACTGAACAGATTGTATAAGAACAGTCTTAAACATCCTACGCCATAGTGATCCTTCCATTTTAGCCAGTGGAGCTATACCAGGGATGAAACCAGCCCCACACATGTGTATGCTGTGATTTTTAGGGTCCATATTTGGTGGCACGTGCCCAGTTGAAGATGGGTGGCAGTACTGGCAAGGCAGCTGTTACTATATTCACACAGCAAAGAGACAAACCTGGCTACGTGCAAGAGACCTATGCAGGCGTTACAGAGACACAGATCTTCTGTGGCTGACAAGTCCTGGGGAAAAGGTATGCTAGAATGTCAGTGAAGGGTATGTGCATGATCTATGTACTTACCTTTGCAAATCTCAGTTTCCCAAAGGCTTTGGGACTATATCTAGAGTGTGAGGAAGGGCTGTGGATGCCCACAGCTGCAGATTTGGAGAGGCTTTGCATTTTCTTGTGTGATTCTCTGCCCGCGTCTTTTATAATTCTAGGTTGATCTGCAGAATCTCTGCTTTCAGAGACTGGGATACTTTTTAAAAAGCAAGTATAACTTAAAATTCAGGGGGAGTGGAGGTTAAATATAATTAAAGCTTACTATATATGGGCTATTCTAGATATTTATATGGCCCCCATTATCACTGTATTTGAGCACCTTACAGTCTGTAATGTATTTATCCACACAGCACTGCTGTGTGACAGGGCAGTGCTGTTTATTCCCATTTTACAGATGGGGAACTGAGGCACAGAGTGGCTAAGTAACTTGCCCAAGGTCACAGGAAGTCTGTGGAGGAGCAAGGACTTGAACCAAGTTCCCTAAGTCACATGCATGTGCCCTAACCAGCAGACTGTCCTTCCTCTCTGTCATTACAGCAACAGTTTGGGTTAAATAAAAGCCACCTGAAAGCACCATGGGCTCTACTCACTCCTAGATTTTGTTGTTGGAACCTAGCCTACAGATCACTGGTGGTGAAAAGTGCACCCACCGGAAGTATACTGTGGAATAAACTGCCCACAACTCCTGCTTCACCATAGGGTCTAAAACCAGTCTAGAGAGTGAGTGAGGCTGGTTGGAGAGACGTGGCTAAGGGTACCCAACAGATGTAACTATTTTGCTCAGCTCCTGTGGAGCCGTGGTTGTAAGTTAAAGCTTTTGTTGTTAGAAACCCTGCAGAAGGCAGTGGTGTATGGACTGCCTGGTCTTCCCTGAGGTAAATCTCACCCTCCAGGAATGGGGGCTGCCATCTGGGGTGAATCTGTCCTCTTCTCTCCAAATTCCGCTATGTTCCAGAATAAATCCATCTAGAAGATAAATTCTTTAGTGCCTTATCCTGCAAGATCACACAGTGGCATTATGTCAGCACAGCTTAACAGCCACCAGGCTAGAGATGGTACTGTGTTCCGAGTCTGAAAGCTGAAGATTGGGGAGTCTCTGAGTAGGGTCAGTGCTGAATCCTGCTATTAGGATCAGTTTTCTGCTTGACATTCCATCTTTCCAATGAGGCAGAACAGCCGTGGCCACTGCTAATATTG